AGCCAGGTTCGATTTCCAGCATCAATATGACAGCTCAAAACCATCTGTAACTCCAGTTCCAGGGGATCTGATGTCCTCTTTGTTAGGATCCTGTACATGCGCAGCTTGGAGTCTTTCGTCTTACATCTTACATCATCAACAGGCTCTGGTGACTATGTACCTGACTTAAAAAGCCTCAGGCAGACTCCCACCCCTCTCTCTCTCTGTTTTCTCTCTGCTCTCTCTCTGTTCCTGCTCTGCTCCCTCCCCCCAGGCCTGGCTCTCTCTCCCTCCTTTCCCTCCTAATAAAGCTCTAAAAATTAACATTGGGTTCTGCCGTGGCCTGTGACTTTTCCACCAGTAACCAGCGCCACCAACCAGCGCCATTTAACTATCACCTTTCTGGCCTCTGCCGACACCAGGCACACATGTGGTACACAAACATATGTGCAGGCAAAATATTCATATGCATAAAAACAAAACAAAATTTTAAAAAGGAAGTGAGGTCATAGCTGTGCTAAACATGATCTTGTGTTTCTCAGGCCTTTGAAACTTGTTTGCAGCAAGAATGTGTCAAAGTTTGGAACCTTGAGCCTGAAAAGCCTTAAATACTGGAAGCATTAAGTTCAATGGGTCATTCTGATGGGCACTTAGAGAGTAAGAATGCTGGGAGAACATGGGAGTGGACAGTAGAGGCCCCAACTCATGAAGTTTCAGAGAGGAGCGAGGACTCTATAAGGAATGGGGTTTCTGTCCTGCAGTATGGCAGAGCCAGGGTTTCAACCTAGATCCTGTGAGACCCATGAGGCCCACTGAAGGAGACTGCATCCAGATGCTTCAAGAGGGACTCTGAGCTCTGCATTTCTGTGAGCCTTTATTCCTAGTGCCCAGAGAGACAGGTCCCAGAATAGGGAAAGGCTAAGGCCGAGGACCACCCCTTCTCACTTCCATCCCAGTCTAGGCAGAGAGGGCTTCAGGTCTGAGAGTGCAGTCCCTAGGGTACAGGATCCAGGACCCCAGCCACAGAGAGAACTCAGTGGGGACAGAGGTTAGCAAGGAGCTCTGAAGCCAACTGCAGACATAGGGCCCTGATCCTGCTCAGCTCTGAGCCATAGTGTGAGCATCTGTTAAATAACAAAGAGCCAAGCCAGCTTGATGGATTGTATGAATCCCAAGATTTATCTTTCAAAGGCATGCCCTCTTAGTGACCCAGTTCCTCCAACGAAGCCCTAAGCCCACAGCTGGATATCTCCCAATAGTCTCTCAAAATTCAAATCCACTAATGCATTAAAACATCCATCAAGTGAGGGTCCTCATGATCTGATCCTCTTAGGAAACACCCTTGCAAACATACTCAGAGAAGTACTGTATTGATCTCCTAAATGAAATCCCCCAGCCAAGCTGACAGTCAAGATTAACCATCACTGGGGCTGAAGAGATGGCTCCATGGTTAAGAGCACTGGCTGCTCTTGCAGAGGACCTGGATTCTGGTCCCAACATCCACAGAGCAGTTCACAATCATCTATGACTCCAGTTCCAGGGGATCTGATGCCCTCTTCTGACCTCCATGCACACTGCACACACATGGTGCACATACATACATGCAGGCTAAACACCCATACATATAAGATAAAAATAAATAAATCTTTGCAAAGGTTAGCCATTACATACTTCAAGAGCCAATTCTTATTCTTTGAAATAAGTTCCTTTCAATGCCCCATCTATGTAAATCTATTTGTATAATAGATAGATGATATTTACCCACCAAGTATCTTGTGGCTGTATCTTGCGGTTCTGTGTCACGAAGAACCCTGAACAATACATCTTATAACAAGGAAAGAGTGTTGTAACTCAAAACTCTTCAGTAAACAAAAGCCTAGGCCAGCTGGCCACAATGAATTCTTCCCAAGCACTGGAAGCAGAAGCATCAGTGGCTTGTCAAACACGTCAAGAAACAGAGAAGGAACCAGTTCTTCAAACTGCACTGTAGGGTGGGACTCTGCTCTGATGTGGGGGCTGCTCTGGCTTTCGCCTGCCACTGGCCCTTGACTGGAACTGGCTCTGTGCAGACAGCACTGGCTCCTGAGAGGCCTGCAGGGCTGTATCTAACTCAGGAACTGGGCCTGGAAGTGCTGCTGCAGCTCTGGTAGCTGGCTCTCTCTCTTCTAGGGCTGTGAGTGGGTTCTAAATCTAAAGTTGGTGCTGGAGGATGCTAGGGCTCTGAAAGGAGTCTGTGGTGAATTGGATCCAGCCACTTCTAATTCTGTCTTTAGAGACCTTGTTGCAGTTGCGGTTGACACCTGAGCCAGCACAGCTCCACTGCTGTAGTTGGCTATGAAGCTGGCTTCTAGCGTTAACAGCCAGCCTCGAGCTGTGGCTGGCCCAGGGAACGCTACTGCCTGTATCTGGAGTCACAGTGCTGGAGCTGGTTCTGGACTGGCTGGACCTCTGCTGAGAGGGCTCTAGCAGTTGCTTCTTCTGTTTCTGTCATCTAGAGATGGCTCCAGACCTGTTTGCAGCTCAGGGCCACCGCAGGAGCCTCTTCTGGCATGGGATCTAGCTCAATCACAAATACTAGAACAAATGAGATGGCGGGCACTAGATCTTCTTGGCCTCAGGGCAGGAGTGGATCAAAAAAGAGCATCACCTCTGTAGTTCCTTCCAGACCTGTTGGCAAAACAGTTCACACTGATGGACCTGGTCAATGCTCAGCAGGTCAGGTGAGCTTCCTTCTGTCCTCTGCTGCCCAGACATACCTCCAAGGCCCCTTCCTAGGCCCACCATTGCAATCATGTGACTAGGAATTTTTCTTTTATTCCTAATGTCTCAATTCCCCTCTGGAAAGTGGAGATAGGTCCCATACTCACACCTATTGTAAAGATTCAAGGATTTGGACCATGAATGATAATACATGCCTCTAATCCTAGCACTTGGAAGGTAGAGGCAAAAAGATCAAAAATCAGGAGTTCAAGTATCTTCAACCATATAGTAAGTTTAAAGGTAGTCTGGGCTATATGAGATACTGTATCAAAAACCAGGATGGAGCCAGGCAGTGGTGGTGCATGCCTTTGATCCCAAGATTTGGGAGGCAGAAGCAGGTGGCCATCTTGGTCTGCAAAGCAAGTTCCAGGACAGCCAGGGCTACACAGAGAAACCCTGTCTCAAAAAAACAAACAAAACAGGAAGGAAGCCAGATGGTGGTGGTGCAGGCCTTTAATCCCAGCACCCAGGGGGCAGAGGCAAGTGGATCTTTGTGAGTTCGAGGCCAGCCTGGTCTACAGAGTAAGTTCCAGAACAACCAGGGCTACACTGAGAAACCCTGTCTGCGGGGACGGGGGAGATAGGAAGGAAAAGAAGGAGGCAGGCAGGCAGGCAAGAAGTAATGGAGGAAGGCAGGAAAAAGAAGGAAGGATTCAACAATTTGAGAACATCAGCAAGTGTGGCTGGCCTGGCCCATGGGTAGCAGAACAGTGCTCACTGATGTGTCCCCAGGCCCACAATTCACCCCCATCACCCGGAAGTCCTCATCAGTTTCAGGACTCATTAGATATGTGATGTGTACTTTTGCGGGACACAACACACACCCCAGCAGTTAGCTAGTCATCTGAGTGTATTCTGTGTCTTTGAGCATCAACCTTCAAGAAGCTGCCTCAGATCCACACACAGGTGTGGATCCTCAGATCCACACACTAGGTGGGGCTAGTTAGAAGCACCTGGGACTTGTGAACTCCTTGCAGCTCCTTCCTGATCCATTCCCAAAGCTTCCTTGTAAAAGAAGAAGCAAAGTGTCACCTCCTTGGCCCCTGAATACTGGTCAGTCAGAACTGGCCTTTCCTCTTTGCGTGGAAGCCTTGGCATAATCAAAAACCTGGGAAGCAGGGTTTCCCCCACAAAAAAACAGGGAGCTTCCTAAGAAGGCGCAGGACTCGACTCCATGGGTGGTTTGAAAAAGTCCTGAGAGCTTGGCAATACGCAAAGAAGTCGCTGAGATCCACTTGGCAAGGCAAGATCTAGGATCAGACCATGCGGGACGTGGACTCGCCCAAGAGCCTCTGAGCGGCTGGGGCTACGAGGAGCGCGGTCGAGGAGCGGAAGATCCACTAGAGGGCACTGTAGCCGGAGGACAGGGGAAGTCCCTCGCGGGCTGCCGTAGGCGTTACTATAAAAGACGTGGTGCGGCTCTGTTCAGCCTCTCGGCGGCCATGGCGGCGTACGGGCTGGTGGCTTCATCCCTTCCGTGGTTGACCTGGGACACTGCAGTCGACCCTCCATAGCTCTCGGCCTGCTGGCGGGAAGACTGCGTCTCGTACTGCTGATCGTAAAAAAAAGCGTCGCGTTCTTTTCCCTCCGAGGGCTCAGTCGCCCTAATATGTGCAGCAGACTAACCTTGCGGTAAGAGGAAGGGCAGTTCACGATGTGCCCGAGGGCCGGGTGGAGGACCCCCACCCTCGAGGCCCCGGAAGGAAAACCGAGCCTCGGCGTCTGGGTTAATGGAATGCAGAGGGAGCTTCCTAGGCATCCCCCTGGTCATTCCTGATTGGGGCTCGACCAGCTCGCCTTCCTAGGATTAAGGAACACCAGGGCAAGTGCCTGTCTACATTTGCGGCTTGCCGATGAGGTTTTTCTTGAAAGGACAGCTATTCAAAACCATTCTGAATACCCAACTTGAGATAACGCAGACCCTGTCTGTTTAGTGCAATGCCACTGAATTAGGAAGCGAGGAGAGTTACGTTGTTTTGTTACTTCACTTAAAGCCTTAGCAAGGAGACCAAACTATTGTGGACCCATTGGAATAGGAATAAAATACAGGCCTGATGAAATCCCCCACTGTGATCTTGCCAAGAATGTGTGCAAAATGATTGTTTTTCTTCTCTAGGGAGTTTGTCTGCTGGGAATTAAGAAGCTGTGAGGACATGTTGGGGTCTTCGGTAAGTTGACCCGAGTTACTAAGATTCCCATTAACAGCCATGGCTCTGGCACTGGGTTCGTCCTGCCCCTAGAGGCGTTGCATGTGTGGCTGCCGTGTTACATGTGCGTCAGTAGGTGGCAGAGAGGAGAGAGGCTATGTCTACGCTCAGTGTTCTGACCTGTGAACATCTGAATGATTAGTAGCCTAACACTCCCTGAAGCTGGAGGTGGGACCGCCCTTCCCGGTGGTTGACTGGTTTAGGTAACCCAGTATGGGGCCGGTAAACTACAGTGGGTGGAAACAGCGGTGGCATCAGAGCTATCCTTTGAGGAGATGAGTGGAGTTAAACTGGCAGGGCCAGAGTACAGCTCAGTGGTAAAGTACTCACTTGAGGGGCAGGCCTGGGTCTCCGTCCCTGGCACCACCACCAAGTGGAACTGACAGGGGGAAGAGTAGTTCCTGTTAGTGGGCCCATGCGGGGGGGGGGGGGGGGGGGGGGACGGGACGGGACACGGTAACAACTAATGGTGGCAGTGATGGTCACCCCCTCATGTGAGGTTCCAATGTGCCCTGGTTTAGTTACCTGTGGTTGACAAAAAGTATCCGTGAAAAAGGCCTCCTGGGGCTCTGGGAGTGCAACACCTGGATTAGAGGGGAGCTGTGCTGGTTCTTTCTCTTTGCAGGAAAGCTGGTGACAAAGCTCTGCTCGTGGTGTGAACTTGATGCCCAATGCGCAGCCGTGGCCCATTGAGGTAAGAGGTGGGCTGGGTCTGCCGGAGCCTGCTCAGGTGGGATGTGTGCAGCTGCCCTGAAGGTGCTGTCCTAGATCTGTCAGCACCGCAGGCACTGCACAGCTACTCAGCTGTGTCTGTGACGTCAGGGCAAAGAGCAAGTGGCTATTTCTACGCTCAGTGTTCAGAAGCCAGTGAGCACTAAGAATGGTTTATAGCCTGACATTTTGCAGAGCCATAGTGAGGTGGTGCTGGGATGTGGCTTTGTTGGTGGCCAGACCCCAGTGTCAGAGACCTCAAGGGCTCACCAAAAGGTTGCATGGTCAGTATTTTGGCCAGATAGAACTTTGGAGTTGGGAGTGGCTGCAAACTGGGTTTGTGGGGAGGGCATTCAGAGGAGTCAGGAAATATAAAACTATTCATCCTTTCTCATTTTTCAGATCCAGGAGCCAGGAAGAATAAGGCCTTTTGGTCACGTGACTGATCAGGACAGGTGCAGATGTGATTATAGACCATGAGCTTCAAATGTGGCCTCTGACTTCACCAGGGACCTGCAGAACCACCCATACAGGCTTTGGGCAGCTCCACACTTCTATCCTGGCAGCCCACATCCTAAATTACAGACCACATTGTGTTGGCTTGAACTGTTCCTTCAAGACTGAAGTGAGATATGTGTAGTAGCACTAGAGGTGGAGGGCCCTCTTAAGATCCAGCATTTCCATCTAACCAACTGCATGGGGCCTTAGAAGTGATAATTATGGAGGGAGGAGAAGCTAGCTGTAGGTGCTTGTGACACAAATAAACTTGTTAATTCCTGAAGCTTGTAATCTTTACCACCAGCATTCTCCCGTCTTAGGGTGAAGAGTCTATTGAGTTTCCCTTATCTCCCCTGGAAATTAAAACCTGCCAGAGTAAATGCTGAGGTTTGAGGATTTGGGCTGGAACTGTGGCTGTCTTATACCAAAAGTGAAGTTTGCTGGTATACTGTAGGTAAACATTTTCCCATGTTCTGCGTATTCACTGGTGGACAGCTGAATTGTAGAAGTGCTGGTTAGCTAAAGGTGTCGGACGCCTAGAGAGGAGCTGCCATTGTGTGCCAGCAGCATTCTGGTTTGGGGGTATTGCTCAATGGTTGAGTGGAGTGCTGGTGGTGGAAATGCCAGTGCACAAGAGTTCACAGGCCTGATCCTTGGGGCTGCAAAATTTATAAGAGCCAAAGGTGCATTCAGGCTCATAACATGCTTCATGTCCTCCATCGGTGCCCAGACAAGCTCTGTAGGATAGAGCCTTGCCTAAGGCTGCTTTGTATTTAGCAAGGGATCCAAATGCCCAAGTGTTGCATAAAAGCCATTTATTTACATGTACAGAGAAATGACCCCTCTGCTCAGTTGGGAAAGTGGGGTGGAGGAGACTTACTTGGAGAGGGGTGACCTTTCCCAAGTGGGTGCTCCACTCACAGCTGAGCTATAATGGCTGGAGCCTGCAGCATTAAGAGTAGTTGGTGTTGGAGATCTCCCTCCAGAGCAAGGTCTTGAGGTGGCTAAGTACCAGTGAATGGTGGGCTTCCACCTGGCTGGCCAGTCCACTCAGTGTAGTACATGTGCGCAGCTGTTTGCCCAGCTCCTCACGGAGGTCGGCAGGAGCACCAGGCAGCAGATAATCCCTCAGCAGTTCACATACCTTGGCCAGGTTGGGCTGGATGAGGTCGCCCTTGCACTGCCTCATGAGCCTGTCACATGGAGCCCTGCAATCTCGCCCATAGATGCAGTCAGAACTCTGCTCACAGTGGCGGCCCTGAAGGAAGCGGCGCACGGTAGCCTCAGGCGCCACCTGCTGCAGGTCAGCCATCTTGAAGTCATAGGTGGCCGTGTATCCCACATTGGCCAGTGTGGTCTCACACATGTAAAAGGTACCATAGGAACCATGGAAGAGCTCCTCTACAAACTCCAGCAGGCCAATGGCAATCTTGGCACGCCAGGGCCATGCAGGTCCAAACCACTGCTGGAGAGCCCTGTGCAGCACCGAGGGCAGGAGCGGGCGCAAGGCAGGCAGCAGCACTGCTCCATGCCAGGAGCCGCGGGGGATGCCCTCAGTAAGGTAGAGGTCCCCGCAGTAGCCCAGCAGCCGGGAAGCATGCTCCTTCTCCTGAAGGGACAGCAGCAGCAGGAACTCGTTGCGCTGCAGCAGGGCCCAGACAGACTTGGCCTCTGCCAGGGACACCCTGCTATCCTTGTTGAAGTCCGCCATGAGAAGGATCTGGTCAACCAGCGTTGGCAGGGAGGGCAGGTCTCCTAGGTTCGCCTGACATTTGGGACCAAAAGGAAGGCAGAGAAGCACGCCCTGGTGCACACCTCTCAGCTGGCAGAGCACTGACTGGGTCTGGCCTGGTCTCTAGACATTAGAATATCAACAAGGCCTGCTGCCTGCACCACACACTCAATCCCTTCTGCCTGTGTCACAGAGGGATGAGAGTAGAGGCCACAGCACTGTAAGCCTTTGAAAACTAATCATGTGGCCCTTGAGCCCTGTATCTAACCCCCACCAGCCCCTACTTTTACCATACTGGATGCAGAGTCCTCAATCTCCTGAGCCCTCACCACACCTCAGACTCGGCCCGTCCATCTGTTCCCACAAGCCCTGAAAGATGCTTCCTTGCCTGCCTCCTACCCAGGTCTTTGTAGACATCCCAGCTGTGGGCTACAGTGAAGATCTGAGCACCCCTAGTAGAGCAGACTAACCTTGAGGAAGCTGAGGATCATCTCTTGGAACTCCTTGATGGAGGTGCCCCGGGTGGGCTTGTCAAACAGTACCAGCTCCCGCCGCGGAACTACATCTGGCCAGGCCTTGGAGTTCAGGGCCTCCTCAATGCCACATTTGATGGTCACCTCCTTCTTCTGCCAGAGCCCACTGTATACCTAGACAAGGCCAGAGGTATGTCTCCTATAGACGTCCAGCTTGCCACCAGCAGCAGCCCACACCCAGCCTGCCAACCATGCCCAGCTGCACACCTGCTGGCCTGGCGATGAAGACAGGCAGGTCCTCCACTCCACTTTCTGCAGCTCACACAGGTCCTGGCAGACAGAGCCGGAGATGATGCCCTTGCGGTACTGGTCACACTGAGGAGATAGGCACCAGGGTATGTATGGCCCAGGGCATGGGGCTTGGTGGTCACAGCCCTCCCCACTTCCTATGGATCCACAGCCCAGCCAAACACCCCAGGACAGAAGGAAAAGCCACCAGCTGCATGGGCACGGGGAGAGGCCTGTCTCCAGGAGCAACCCTCTGCTCCCTCCTTGACTCCTGAGAAAAGGATATCACCAGTCTACGGCCAGACACTGCAACTAGAATGCAACACACAGATGGCTAGGACCACAGGCAAGTCCCCATAACAGGCCTCCACTGCATCCCCAGCTGGGCCCTCAGCAGCAGAGCGATGGTCAGACAGGTAACCTAGACTGCGGTGAGATGAAAGCCACAAGTCCCAAGAGAGGGGCCTGGTCATGGTCGATAACAACCTCAGGTGTTACCCAGTTAAATACCCAGTGAGCAGCACCCTTTGGGCACCTGGGCCACCCCTTCATCTCCCTTATGGTGAGGCTGGGAACTTTCAAGGCAGCTCAGCACTCCTCTGAGCAGGTGTCCACATTCCCCCATCCAGCGTTTTTCCATCCACTGTGATCCTGGTCTGGTTTAGCCTGCCCTGTAGACTGAAGCAGGAGCAGTCCAATGGTAGGGCCCCTCCTTTGATCCTCAGGATCTAGCTGGACTCCCAGCCACCAACCCATAAGAGGTGCTGCCAAGGGGTCCCAACTGTGAACAAGACCTAACACCTCAAATGCTCCAATACTTCAGTTACCGGTCACTGTCAGGGCTATTTGTCACCATCCCTAAAGAAATGGCATCCTGGGGCCCCACAATTGCTAAAGACCTTACTTCCTGCCAGGCTTGCCCCAGGCCACTCCATTAGCTGGAGAGCCTCTCAGCACAGATTAAATCTGCACTACCCAGGCCTAGTCTGGGGTAAAGGGCTTGCTGGCTCTCACTTGGATAAATTCCTGGAGATACATCACTGGTTGCCATGGAGCCTGGCACTGGTCAGAGCCAAGCTTGGAGGAAATGGGGGAAGGGAGGTACCCAACACCCCACCATCCAAGAAGCTGAGCCAATCTGAAGCACTGACTAAGCCATGTGAACCACAAAGACAGTGTCCTATGGCCACATGGAAGAGGCTCATCAGCTAGAGGTGGAACAGTGAAGCTATGCCTGTCCATCCCAACACCCTCTGGGCAAGCCCTTCACACAGGACTCTATGCTGATACCCCATCGACACCAGTCACAGGACTTCGGGGGGGAGGGGGGGGATGGGAGGGCTTTGCAGGAGCCAGAGGCCGTGCTGCCCTTGACTCACAGCTGATGGAGAGGAGCAGGGGCCTACTGGCCCTGCTCAGCATTCCAAGGTGGCAGAAGGAACAGCAGAGTTCGAGAGGAATTCCACAGAAACCAAGGTAGGATCCAGCAAGATGGATCAGCAGGTAAAGGAGCTTGCCACCAAGTCTCATGGCCTGAGTTTAAACCCCAGAATCCAAGTTAGGGTGGAAGGAGAGAACCTAACTACCACAAGCTGTCCTCTGACCTCCACACAGGCCATGGCACATACACACATACATACATACATACACACACACACACATACAAATAAATGAATGTACTTTTTTTAAAAGAAAAAAATTAAAAATGAAAAGAAACTAAAATGAGCACAGCATGTTTAGCCATCCTCAGGACTCCTGCTGCCCCTGGGTCTCCAAGCCTCAGTTTCTTCATCTGCAGAGTGGGCCAGGGTAGGGATCCACTGAGTAGCTTCCTTCATGCTGAGAGTCTGGCTAGCACCTGAGACTATATGACCAGGGCATAGAGAAGGATCTCCTCTGGAAGGTAGCTTGTGGTGGTTGGGTTCTCTCCTTCCACCCTTGGATTCTGGGGTTTAAACTCAGGCCATGAGACTTGGTGGCAAGCTCCTTTACCTACTGAGGAGATCCTTTACCTTTATGTCCCCGTCACCAGTCACAAGGAACAGAGAACTGAGATACCAGCTTCATGAGGTGCATGGGCACACTCACACAGGCACTGACATGCAAGCATGCACTCCCACACATGCACTCACAGGGACATCCTCACTCAATAGCAGCAATGGCTCCCTGGAGAGGAAGGCATAAAAGTCTCCACCCCATGGCCTGCTTTCAGGGCTGGCCAGGGCAGCCCTCTCCAGGCTATTCCTGTGTCCCTGCTAAACAGTCCATGTTTCAACATTTAAGTCCACCCCGAGTACATGCAGCAGCTACAATTTCCCCACTTCCTTCCTGACCTCCAGCCCTCTACTCCCCCATCCAAGCCCACCTCCCACCAAATCTCTAAGGGCCCCCCACATGGGTCAGGTCCCTGGGCCCAGGCAGACTTACGATCACCACCTGGCAGACGTGCCCACGGCAGAGCTCCGAATAGGATGAGTAGTGCACATAGACCATCCAGCTGCCCGCGAAGATGCCCAGCCAGACCAGCAAGACATACTTGACCCTGAGGCCTGGGAGCCGGCCCTGCTGAGGGAGGGACCAGGTGAGGAGGTACCCATCTGTGGCCCTGCTGTGCCCATAACCAAGGGCAGCTTCTACCTCTTTAGATCTTCCACAGCCAACTCAGTTGGCACCCATCACCTCCAGCATTGAGAAGCACCTAGCTCAGTACCCCACCATTATCAGGCATATGCCAGAGTCTGCAGCCAGGGGCTCTCCATCAGACGCAAGTAGACATTTCAAAATGAGAAGATAAAGCTGAATGAAGATACTTTTTACAGCCTGTTCCCTTAAAATGCTCTCATTTCCAAACATTCCTGCCTCCAAATAAGGTCAGCTGAGCCATCGGCCTGGGGCTAGTTGGTTCAGCCACCCCAGGAATGTGGCCCTCATTTTTCCCACTGATCCCCTTGAGTCAGGGCCAGCAGGAAAAGGGGTATGGAGGGCAAGGGGCCCAGAGCCCAATTCTACTACACCCTGAGAAGCAGTGAGAAGACATGGGGTCATGCATGCACATTCACAGTAGCAGTAACAACAGCAAGGGTGGACAGCCAGTATCCATCCACAAGATAAAAACACCACTCAGCCTCAGCAGGAAGTAAGCCTGGTACCTGCCACCACCAGGATGGATGTCACAGAAGGACACCTTCTGTGAGACTCCAATCCAAGAGTCCCCCAGAGTCCTCAAATGCACGGAGGCAAACAAAAGTGTCAGGGGCGGCCGGGCGGTGGTGGCGCACGCCTTTAATCCCAGCACTCGGGAGGCAGAGCCAGGCGGATCTCTGTGAGTTCGAGGCCAGCCTGGACTACCAAGTGAGTTCCAGGAAAGGCGCAAAGCTACACAGAGAAACCCTGTCTCGAAAAATCGAAAAACCAAAAAAAAAAAAAAAAAAAAAAAAGTGTCAGGGGCAGGGTAGGCTGTGGGAACACAAGAGTCAGGATGGGAAGGTGAGCTTTCTGTGGATGGACCGAGTCGGTGGCTCCACAGCACCAAATGTGCAAGCAGAGATGGGCAGGATAGGATATTTGATTACTTCATGCTGTGGGTTTTGTTTTTGTTTGTTTGTTTGTTTGGGGGTTTTGTTATTATTGTTGCTGTTGTTTTGAGACAGGGTTTCTCTGGCTGTCCTGGAACTCGCTTTGTAGACCAGGATGGCCTCGAACTCACAGAGATCTGCCTGCCTCTGCTTCCTGAGTGCTGGGATTAAAGGTGTGTGTCACCGCTGCCTGCCATGCTGTGTATTTTGCCTCAGTTTCTTTTAAAAAGCTGTGTGTGGTGGTGGACACATTTCTGTAATCCGAGCATTGGTACTGTTAAAGAAGAGACCAGCTCGGTTCCCACACACACTCACAACCGTCTTTAATGCCACAGGACTCAGCACCTCCTTCTGACCTCCTGTGGCACCAGGCATACACATGAAGCACATATATACATGCAGGCAAAACATTCATTGACGCCAGGTGGTAGTGGCACACGCCTTTAATCCCAGCACTCGGGAGGCAGAGGCAGACCGATCTCTGTGAGTTCAAGGCCAGCCTGGTCTACAGAGCGAGTTCCAGGACAGGCACCAAAACTACACAGAGAAACCCTGTCTTGAAAAAGAAAAAAACAAAAACAAAAAAGGAACAGAAACCGGAGGGGGGTGGGGTGGGGCAGGCAGTCCTGGCCCCAAAACCCTGACGAAGATGGACCTAAGCCTTCACTTCTGCAGAGGTTCCAGGTCACCCTGTCTTCCTCAGCCCTCAGCCCTCAGTTTCCCAGCTGACAGGTGAGCACTAAAGGGTGAGAAGAGGTCTGGTCTAAGTGCTGAGGACACGGGTTCCCACTGAGTACTCCAAGCAGTGTCCAAAGTTGACAGCCAGAGACAGCTGGATGCCACCTCCCTCCCCAGTGCCCCCCTTGGAAAATGGCAGTCTCTGGGGGAAGAAACTGGGAGTTTCCAGACAGCCTGTGCCACATAGGGCCAAATGTCCCAATCTGAAGCTAAAGGCAAGGGATCAGTCACAGAGCCCAGCTCGGCAGGGAGGGTGTAAGGGTCAGACTTGTGGGGCAGCATCCCCAGAGGAGGGCCTCTACTGATGCCAAGTGCTTCCTGCGGCGTCCTGTCTACCAGCTGCCAGAGAGTCTGAGCATGGAACCAGTCAGCGTCCCACTTTTGGATCTGGAAGTCGTGCTGAACTCAAGTCTACACTCTGCCCTAGTTCCCTCAGGGCTAGAACAGAAAGGAATCTCCTTCACAAGCACAATGCCCAGCCCTTCCTAAGTTCTTCCAGGAGATGGTCCCTCTTCTGGGGCATGGCTCTGTGGACCTCTCCTCCTGGGGCCCAATTGGTCCAGCCAATCAGCTGTTTCTTTCAGATTTGTCCAAAATGAAAACACGAAGACTGAGAAACAACAGGGGACACCGTAGCTGGGAGGCAAGAGCAGAGGACTTCAAGCTACACCAAGAGCAAAGGGCCAGGACCAGAGCCAGCAGCTGACCCAGGCTAGACCAAGTGATATAGAACTAGAAGCCAGCTGGCCAGCCAGGGCCACTCCAGGCAGGCCCCTCCCAGGACACCGGGCCTTGGCACACATGGCTCCGCCAAACCACTTTGCCTATCATTACCTGGTGAAGTTATGGTGGTCTACCTGGCCTTTGTCGGACCCATCTCTTCCCCAGGGTCCCTGACCCATGCATATCCGCACCCTGGTGCAGGTCTCACCACGGTGGCTACTCGAAGCTCACATAGTCTTCTGCCACTCAGTGGTGAACAGGCTGGCAAGCCCTGGGCCCATATTTTGCAGGGATGAAGTCCAGCACCAGAGAAGTCACTTGGGAAGTGGAGAGGGTCATTACAAGGATGGTAACTGCACAGTGACCTCCCTGCCCAGGAAGCCCAGGCCACGTGCCAGGCACCCTGGTGTTTCCTCAGTTTCCTGAAAGTGAAGCTCAGAGCAGGTGAGGCTCAGCCAATACGCTCCCTGAGTCAGCCCCACTGGGAACTGGCCAAAACCCCTCTCCTGCCATTCCTAGGCCCACTCACTGCTGAGTCAGGCTCTAACCTTCAGAGTTAGGGGTATGGATACACCCCACCTCCTGGCACAAGGAAGTTCCCCAAACACCTCAGCTCATACCCAACCTGGGGCTGAGCATGGACCATAGTGCAAGCTCAGGCCCCTGGAAGAGGATAGCAGACAAGGGCATCTGGGCCTGGACGATCTCTGCATCCAGTAGGCTTCACCCTTCATCCTTTATCTAAAACGGTCAAGCCCTGGGCCAAAGGCGCAGCCCGGGCAACATCCTCCAAGCATCCTCAGGACCACCCTGCAGAGAGGCCATGGAGACCTGGGCAGGGCTGGCGAGTGCGGTCCTTCCTACAGGATCTGAGGACACTGGCAACCAGCGGCTGGAGTCCAGAAGCCTGACCGCATCACCCCAAAGCACGAGCGGAGGAGCCTCTTCTGTAGATAGAAGCTGGCCCTCGCTGGCCCAAGGTCACCAAAGTCCCTGGTTCCAGCTGGCTCATGGGATGGCCATGGGCCGGGTATGTCCCAAGTTTGCTACTCCAGAAAAGCAAACCTAATTTTGAAGTAGGGAAGGGAAGGAAGGACTTCGGTGCACAAAGCGCCCGTCGACCCTCACCATCCCACGCCCAGCCCCTCCCCGTGTGGCTGCACCTGGTCTACCGCCCCTTACCTGCAGGCCTTTGGAGAAGGGACAGAGGAGCACCAGATGCACCAGGCGCCGCAACCGCCGCATGATGGGCGCCGTCCAGGGCTGCGGAACCCCGCGGCTGGCTCGGCCTCAGCCCAGGCCTGGCCAGGCCCGCAGCTGCCGCCGCTCGCACGCCATACGGGCCGCGCGCCTTCGGCCCGCGTTAAAGGCGAGGCGCGTGCCTTTCTGACGGCCGACCGCGACGCACGCACGGGGAGACGGCAGAGAGGAAGGGCGTGCACGCGCGGGGAGACGGATGGGAGGAGCGTGCACGCGCGCGGAGACAAATGGGAAGGGCGTGCACGCGCATGGGGGGGCTAGCGCGCAGCCCCAAGTCCAGTCTCGCCCTCCCGCTGGGGACCTCACCCCTGCCGGCTCCGCAACTAGCTAAAGACACTGGGGCTGAGCTTGGAGCGCAGGGGCAGGGTTGGCGCTGAAGACCTGCGGGGGCCCCAGCCTGCGCTTGCGCGTTTCTTACACCTTTTCAAGGGTAAAAAACGAGGGATCTGCCCCCAGCCCTCTCGTGTTTGCTCGTGTGATCAGTAGTGAGGCCACCGCAGCTGTCTGGCACCCAGCGTCTGCAGCCCTGGCTGCACCGGAGCCTGGGGAAGGATCCACAGCCCGAGCGATCAGCAACTGCTCCTGAGAGCCAGTCTCTTCTGATTTCTGCCCACCGACAGACGCGCCCTTCTCATGTGACTCCCATTTAGGGTGATTAGGAAGGCAGCCGCTGACCCCTGGGTAAGGGGCTTGTTGAACTTAACAGACAATGGCCAGAATGCCCGCTGCACCATCCCCCATGCTCACTGGCTGCCCTGAATCCTCACCGACACCTTTGGTGGAGATTCTATGGCGTTGTCGTTTGCACGCTAGGGAATACAGAGGCTGAACGCCTTCCCCTGTACTCCAGTGCTGTCCATATACATGCTTTGCAAAATGGTGTTAAAAGACAGCTTTAGTTTAAGGATGCTAATTACTTCATAATTACTGGACCAGGCCAATTTTCTTTTCATAAAGTGGAGAAAGTGTCCCATGAGCCCTGCTGAAGAGGTTGGATTTATAGGCTAGAAAGGCTGAAGAGAGTTGGAGCCAAGAGCAGGTCACAAAACAATTGGAAAATAACATCAGGTCTGTATCCCAGAACCTATGAAGCAGGAACAGAAGGATCAATGTAAGTTCAAGACCAGCCTGGCTACCCAGAACTACAAAGGGAGACCCTGCCTCAGGGAAGGAAGGAGAAAGAGAGAGAAAGAAGTGAAACAGAGGGATTATTTCGTTATTGCACCAATTATACACTACCTGCTTAGGAAGTTTGACTATTATATCTCTAATCTTGATTTCTCAGGTCAGATAAACAGTGTAGTTTAAGTTTGGCAACAGGGAGGCTGGAGAAACGGTTCAGCAGCTAAAAATCACTTATTGTGAAATCCTAAGGCTTGAAATTCAGATCCCAGCACCCATGTAGCAAGTCTGACATCCTGCTCATATCTGTAACCCCAGCTTGATGGGAACGGATCCAGGATGGTTGCTGGGACTTGCTGGCTTCTACTCTAGCTGAGAAAACACAGCCCTAGGTTCAGGGAAAGACCCTGCCTCAAAGGAAAAGATGGAGAGTGATAGAAGAAGCACCCAACACCAACTTCCTGCCTCCTTGTGCACACAAAGATGCATGATCCCCCCCTCTCCCCTACACACACATAAATAAATACATCTTTTTTTTTTTTTAAATAAAACATTAAGCTTGATGACATGGACTTGTGTCATGAGTAACTCTATGCAGTCTGGTCTTCTAGGACACAATGGCCTTAAGTAAAGTCTGTGACACGCATGTGAACACGTATATTTGTTCATGTGTGCATGCATATATGTGTGTGTGGAAGCCAAAGGTCTGTGTTATGTTTCCCCCTCTCCATTTTATCTTTATAAGGTTTTTAAATTTCATTTTTATTTCATGTATCTGAGAGTTTTGCCTGCATTTACATGTACCACATGTGTGCCTAGTGCCCTAGGGGTTAGAAGTCATTGGATCTCCTAGAACTGGAGTCATGGATGGTTGTGCTTTGCCACATGAGTACTGGGATTTGAACCTAGGCCCTCTGCAAGAACAAGTGCTCTTAACCAACTCTCCATACTCTGCCCCCACCCCACCCTTTGAGGGAAGATTGCTTTCCAGCCTCTCAGGGTACCAGTCCTTGAGTAAACTCTATCTCCTGCCCACTAACTCTTGGCTCTTGGGAACTGGCTTTTAAGTGGTGATCAGATAGACTTGGATGCAATATCAAGTGTGCCTTTTACTGTGTTGTTGCTGTTGTTGTCCCTTGGGCAAGGCCTGTCAGGTCTCCCAACCATGAAGCCACTGTGCTTCCTTCTGTAACTGGTAAGGGTCTCAGAAGTAACACTGTGGCCATGGGAATGCCTTGCCCTGTGTTTACCTTCTGACGTGGCATCCACTGGACTCCTCCTGGAAATTGCTGATTACACAATATGGTCTTTAAATACAGTCAGTTCTATCTGTTTTCCTTGACTTTTTCTGTTGTGATAAATAAACACGGCAGACATTACCCACAAACCTGTGGTTACCAACCATCGCCACATTCTCATCTCCTACTGAAACCATTCCCTTGCCGCTCTCCCCAGTCCCTGAAGCCCACCCTTCTACCTTCTCTCCGCTGCTGATACTTCAAAGGACCTCATAGAAGTAGAGCCTACAGCACTGGTTCTTTTACTGAACATCTTAACCCCAGGGTTGATGTTGTAGCGTGTGCCAGAATTTCCTTTTTTTAAAAAAAAGTATTAGATTTATTTACGCCCCTTGTGAGTTTTGCTGCACACATGCATAATTGGTTTCCACAGATGTCAGAGGACAGCAACAGATCCCTTAGAACTGGAGTTTCAAATGGTTGTGAACCACTATGAGGGTACTGGGAATTGAACCCGGATCCTTATAAAAAGCAGTAAGTGCTCTTTTGGGGGGAGGTGGGGGGGAGGCGGTTCAAGACAAGGTTTCTCTGTGTAGTCCTGGCTGTCCAGGAACTCACTCTGTAGATCAGCTAGCCTTGAACTCAGAGATCCACCTGCCTCTGCCTCCCAAGTGCTGGGATTAAAGGTGTACACCACCACTGCCCGATATGGTCTTTTTATTCTATACCCAGAATTGTGACTTGTAAATTAATTGATAATTCTGTTTGATTTTTGAGGAATAGACCCTGTACCTGGCTTTCACACCAGAGCAGGACTTTAAGGCAGCTTAAGCTAAGTCCAGAAAGGAACATTTGGAAACATCTGTTTGCATGGATTTTTATCTTTCACTGATGATGGATTGAAACATAGCATTTGGCCGGCATGGTGGCATACAATCTGTAATCACAGGAGGCTGTAAGCCCAAGGCCACCGGGACTGAAAATGAGTCCTTGGGGCTGAAGACATGGCTTAGGATTTAAGAGCACTTGCTGGCCTTCCAGAGAACCTGGATTTGGTTCCCAGCACCCACATGGTGGCTCACAACCATCTGTTACTCCAGTATCAAGGAATCCAACACCTTCTTCCGACCTCTGATGGCACTATACACAGGGTACATTTACATGACAAACAGGTAAAACACCCATGCCCATAAAATAAAAATAAATCTTTTTTTTTTTTTTTTTAGGAGACCTTGTCTTAAAAACAAGCAAAATATGTGTCCTTTGCATCGATCTCTTCCTGAGTTCATCATGATGTAGGAATAACCCTCTGGGGAGGTGGGGGTCTGACACAAGTTTGCACATAGCTCATTTTGGCCTCAAATTCAGTATGTAGCTAAGGCTGGCCTTGAATCCTGATCCTCCTGCCTCTGCTTCCCAAGTGCTGGTATTACAGGTGTGAACCACTGCGTCCTGAACTCCAGACCTGACTCTGGAATGACCTTTTGTGGATTTCCTAACTGGTGAGCCTCCAACTTCCTCCACCAAATGAAAATATGTCATCTCAAAACTAGGAAATGACTTATCTCCAAGAGCCTCCAGTTATCAGAATAACAAACTGATTCAGAATCAGGCATCTCCCTTCCCCAACCAACTGTCCGCTGCTCCTGTTCCAGCTGTATGCTGTGGAGTAATCCTTTTGTACACTCTGAAGATTTGTTGCTGTGATTGGTTTAATAAAGAAGCTGACTGGCCAATAACCGAGCAGGATAAAGTTAGTTGGGAGAGCCAAACTGAGAATGATGAGAAGAAGGGCAGAGTGAGTGGAGAGTCCAGACAGCTGCTGAGGAAGCAGGACATGTAGAAAATGAGGTAACGGAGCTGGAGAGATGGCTCAGCGGTTAAGAGCACTGACTGCTCTTCCAGAGGTTCTGAGTTCAATTCCCAGCAACCACATGGTGGCTCACAAGCATCTGTAATGAGATCTGGTGCCCTCTTCTGGCCTGCAGGGATACATGCAGACAGAACACTGTATACATAATAAATAAACAAATCTTTTTAAATTAAAAAAAAAGAGAAAGAAAGAAAGAAAATGAGGTAATAAGCCTCAAGCCATGTGGCAAAGCATAAATAGAAATATGGGTCAGTTTAAATGTAAGAATTAGGCAGTAACACGCCTGAGCTATTGGCTGAGCATTTATAATTTATATTAAGACTCTGAGTGGTTATTTGGGAAGCGCCTGCTGGTTATTTGGGAGCAGGTGGTCAGGACAGAAAAACTCTGCCTACAACTGTAGAGCTACTGTCCAAAGTTCATAGCCCTTTAAAGATGGCAGCACCGTGGGTAGGTCTCCCAAAGGGACTCACCTATGCTGTTGTACTTAAGTTGTAGTTGCTATGGCAACTGCATGGCTCACCTAAATGCTGTGTACACTGATAATATCTCCACATATATTGAGAAGGAATTTGGTTAAACCAAGTGGAGTCCCACCCTACCCCAAGAATTGGCAGCCAAGACAGCTAATGACAGGAGAAACTCCAGGAAAAAAATCCTCAGACTCTAAGAGCTTGTGTTCTCAGGCTGCAAGCCCCCTTCAGCAGAATGGTGGGAACACCTCAACATCATGATTGACATGTGGACTATGGTACTAGGTGGCATGCTCACACCAGCAGGACCTTTGTACAGTTACCCACTGCCTATCAAGTGCCTGTGTGTGCTATGTGCTTGCCCTTCTGTTATTCCCTGTCTTCACTGAGCCTTCATGAATATCTGGTTCATCTCAGCACTGCCATTATGAGCTATGTGATTTGTGTGGCTGTGTGTGTGTGTGTGTGTGTGTGTGTGTGTATAAGTGTGTTTGTGTGTACCTGTGTGTACATGCACATGTATGTATGTGTGTGTTTACACATGTGCATGTGTGGTGCTGAAGATAGAATCCAGGATCCTGTACATGCTAGATCAGTGCTCTGCTCCTGAGCCGTACCTCCAGCCCCTTAGGCAGATGGAATGATCCAATGGCTGCCTT